AACATATACACATTAACGGCTTAGATATATCTACAGTTACTTATCTAGGTGAACAACATGCAGTAGAACTCCAATCAACTAACATATACACATTACCTAGACAAGTAACTATAGATATATCTAAGCAGTGAACAACATGCAGTAGAACTCCAATCAACCAACTCATGCATATCACCAACATAAGAAACTAGAAATAGATACAAAACACATAAATTACATGCTGGAAATCTACTATCAACCAAATGATGTACATTACCAACATAAGAAACTGGAAATAGATACAAAACACATAAATTACATGCTGGAGATCTACTATCAACCAACTGATGTACATTACCAACACAAGAAACTGGAAATAGATACAAAACACATAAATTACATGCTGGAGATCTACTATCAACCAGCTGATGTACATTACCAACACAAGAATCTGGAAATAGATACAAAACACATAAATTACATGCTGGAGATCTACTATCAACCAACTGATGTACATTACCAACACAAGAAACTGGAAATAGATACAAAACACGAACAAACTGAAGAACTTCAGTCAACCAACTTACATGATCAGATAAGAATTTGGAATATATCTAATACATGAAACATATACTGTAGAACATTTGTTAATCAACTTCTGCTCCATTATGGGTAAGAAACTGGAAACATATCTAATAATGTGTGAATCACTGACTACATAACTTTTGTCACCAAACTTACGCACACTGCCCAGATAAAAAACTGGAAATATATATATAACATGTGGTCCTCATACAGCAGAACTCCTACCAAGCAACTTATACACAAAACCCAGATAAAAAACCTGAAACATATCCAAAAACATGTGAACCACATGTTGCAGAACTCTTGTCAACCAACTTGTGCACATTGCCCAGTTAAGAAACTGGAAATATATCTAATACATGAACTAATGTTACTATACATACACCAGTATCATGAAGAGGTTGGTGCAGAAACAATCACAGATGAATCAACTCTTGTCAACCAAATTATGCACAATACCCAGATAAGAAACCGGAAATATATCTAATACATGAACTAATGTTACTATACATACACCAGTATCATGAAGAGGTTGGTGCAGAAACAATCACAGATGAATCAACTCTTGTCAACCAAATTATGCACATTACCCAGATAAGAAACCGGAAATATATCTAATACATGAACTAATGTTACTATACATACACCAGTATCATGAAGAGGTTGGTGCAGAAACAATCACAGATGAATCAACTCTTGTCAACCAAATTATGCACATTACCCAGATAAGAAACCGAAAATATATCTAATACATGAACTAATGTTACTATACATACACCAGTATCATGAAGAGGTTGGTGCAGAAACAATCACAGATGAATCAACTCTTGTCAACCAACTTATGCACATTACCCAGATAAGAAACTGGAAATATATCTAATACATGAACTAATGTTACTATACATACACCAGTATCATGAAGAGGTTGGTGCAGAAACAATCACAGATGAATCAAAATAATCAGTCTTTCTTCAAATGTTAGTCGTTGACAGAGAAAATAATGTAATTAAAAGGAAAATCAAAGCAGCTCTCTTCGTTAAAAAAGAAAAACCTAGTATTAACCAGTATTCTAGTGTAAAACTACATTTAATTTTCCCTATTTAACAATTATACAGACTTACTTTTATTTTGTTGTTTAACACTGTAGTATCAGTGTTTATACCATAACTTTTTTCTTCTGTTATTTAAATATAAACACCTGACAATTCTAGGTAAACCAATCGAAAAATAATTAAAAAAAATAGGTTTTTAAAACATGATTACATGTTTTATTCATAAATAAAACTTTAATTTCTGATATCACAAACTGTTCATTTAATTTAATTTTCTCATACTTTGTACTTACTTATGTAAATCTAACATTTGTTAATGTTTTTTTTATTGGGGAGTTGCAGCTACTTTAAATATAGTTGGCATATTCTTTACTGGTAAATAAATGAGCTTTTGTTGATTTAAAAATGTAAGTGAGCTGTGTGGAAGGTTTTGTGTATTACCATACATATATTGTAGCTTGTGTATCATGAGCCTGATGCATCATCTCAGATCAAGACAATACCAAGTTTTGGTGGAACAGATTGTATAAGTAGTATATTTTGGCATTGTTTAGCATTTCATAGATAGTATGATGTCAATGAAAACTGACTGTTTTTGGGAGGAGTTTGTAAAAGCCCTTTGCAATGCAAAATATTCACACATTCAGATCATAAACATATGTTCAGATAAATAATTTAAAACTTCTAAGATGGAAATATCCCTTTTATTTAACAGCCTTTTGAAAATGAAGGAATATAGATCAACTTGTGACATCAGGACCATTAGAGATGGACCTGTGACTAGTTGTACCCCAGCCATGGTAAGCAAGGTGTAGCATTTTGTAACAGGTAAGAATCTACAAACACAAAGATTGGTGGGAAAAGCCATTCAAGTACCTCAGGCAACAGCATGCAGTATAATTAATAGGGATCTCTGTCTTGAAATAAGGCTAACAGGATATAGGTTCATCAAGATGAGAATTCCCATCCTATTCAATCATTCCATACCTCAAGTCGCTAGAGAATGAAACGAGTACTGATGTTAATCCACAAGGTGGCATACCAGTTAAGTCACTGGATGCAGCACCCATGGATGTTTGTGTGATCAAGCTGCTGAAGCTAGTTCCTTCTTCATTGGGAAAAACAGATCCTGTAACAGCAGAAACACCTTAATTTTTTTTCTTTCTCTTATTCGGACTGGCATCACCAATCACAGAATTTTCAAAGATTTCTAGTAATCAAAATAAAATGATTGAAGGCTTTGGTGAGACTTGTAACATTAATGGTAACCACTCCAAAAAACCAGTAGTAATAAGACAATATCTGACGGATCAGATACTATAAAAATGGTTTCTTTTAAACTTTATTTTTTCTTGAAGAAATCTGTCAAGACTGTAAATAAAAAGTCATCTATGATTTAAATAAATGAATAACATTACTATAGTAACCTAGGATATGAATGTTTTTAAATAGATCTTATGATAACAAATGTGGTGGTACAGCAGTGAACATGTGCAGGTCAGTTTTCACTGCAGCCTTGGGTGGGCTTCATTCATCTAAGGCAAATCAAAAATATACATTCACATGGATTATTAAATGTGCAAACACTGAAAACTTTTGTCCATATCAATAACAAGCATCTGATAATTTAAAGCTACAAAAAGTAGAATGCATCTAAACATTTGCAAGTGAAGCTGACTCTGACTGCCTTAAGAAAGTAGTCCAATATTCTTGCTGATAACTTGTCAGTATTTTCTTTGAAGTTAGAACATTTGCACTTAGATGACAAAATTATAACAAAAGACTGATTAACAGTCTGAACAATCTACAATATTCAGGTATCTTTACTTAATTTTTTGTATTTCATTTTTACCTTACTATAACTGAGAAAAAACCTCCCTCCAATACACAATCTTTGTTTATATTTCAGATGAGCTCTTATTATAACTTGAGTATCTTAAACATTTTGTCAGAGTTGATTCATTAAATCCACTAACAGCTGAAACGAAATGTAGCAATTAACTTGCAAGATGCCATCAAGCTTACAGATACTGAAATTTTTGGAACGGTCAAGAAAAAACAGTTTCTTCGTATACCATTAACAAATTTATATATTTACCAAAAATGGTTGGCAAAGATAAAATGAGTAAATATCAAAACTGGAAAAAGTATAAGAGCCATCACATCATTGTGTATAAGAACTATGATATCTTAAGTGTTTGCTATACAGTAAATCATGATGACTCAAGCCTCTTTAATTGAAATAAAATTCATATTCACTGTAAAAGCAACAGACATTTACTCGATAACCTACAACATACATGGAAGATGTTACTTCACATGTGCAACAAACGTGTATTGATGGAGAAACTTTCAGAAGCTTATTTTAAAGAATTTCGTCTGAAAATATTTTTTCTGTTCAATTAACCTAATGCTTAATATTATGTAAAAAATCCAACAACCAACTCATGTTTACTGAAAGTACTATATTATTGTATTTTATGCCTAAAAATCAAATCAGTACACTAAGCCTCCATTCACAAACTGTACTTTCTCACAACTTACTCATTTATAACCATTTTTCAGTGCTCTTATTTTAAAATTTGACACTGTAACATACTGGATAATAATGCACCAGAAAGAATTGTTCATTTATATAACATTTTTACTCTTCATATCCACAGAAATATCCTCGCTTAAAATATGTATATATTATGTCATGATCAAATTTAGGTAGATGTTAAACTTGCATCACAAATAATTGATATTTCCACATCACTCAAAGAAAGGGGAGCACAGCGAAGTGGCTAAGATTGAAAACTAGTGAGTGCAGAAAATTTGGTCTTGGGTATTTCACAGGTTTTTATTGTTTTGAGCTTAGTGGGAAACCTCATTTCTGATATTCAAACTCTTATGATTACATTTTAGCAGTTGTAATTTCTACATAACAAAGATACACACTATAAAACCAACAGAAACACATACTGTTCACAATATGCCAGAAACACATTATATTACATTTGAAAAATACGTGTTTCACAAATATATATCAGAATATTCTTTAAAGTGCTGTGTAATTCAGTTTTTAAATCTATGTGTTTGAGTATATTGAAAGCTTTTGTTTGTCCCCTGCAACTTGCTTGCAGAAATCAATGACATGTGGAATAATGATGTTCACTAAAAAGAGCAGAGCATAATTTTAAGTCTGCTCTGCTTATTCTACTTATAGTTGTCTTGGCAGATGGAAGAGTTTGATAGTTTTAAATTGTTATGTAAATAATTTCACACGCTACTGTTACGACAGCAGAAGTCATGCAACGTTGGGATCATGCGCGCTGGAGTTTCTCGAAGGATCATGAATTTTCCTGGCAACTCAAAAAAAGATAGAATTGTAGAGATAGATAGATATAGATAAATGAGTCAAGCGAACAGTAGGCTCCGTAAGTAAAGTGTGTGAATCACTGTGAATAATAGCGTGTGTTTATAAAAGTAGTTAAGTTAAAGTGACTGTGGAAATTCTGTGTATTACAAAGTTGTATCGAGAAAGAATAAACTAGTTTTAATTAAGAAAGGACTTGTATCACTGAAGTTCCTTGGAAAGAATTTATACCGGAAATTAACAAAGACGTAACAACTTGGTGACAGAGAGTGGGACAGACAAGAAAAAAAAAAGATGGAAACAAGAAGTGGCAAATCAAACTACAGCTTAGCAGATTTGATGGCAGCAATACAAGAACAGCAAAAGAAACAAGATAAAAGATTACAGCAGTTGTTGTAGGAAAAAGAAATGAAACAAGAAGAATGAGAAAATAAACAAGAAGAGAGACTACAGCAGTGGCAAGAAAACCAGCACCAGTGGCAACTGGAACATGAAAAGAAACAGGAAAAAAGTCTCCAACAGTTGAGAGAATGCCAGTATACACAAATGGAAAAGATTAGTAAATTTCAAAGTGAATTAAATACATTAAAGGACAATTTACTGTCTTTTACACAGGGAGGATATATTAACCATGGACCTAATCAGCCCCAGACAACAAGAAGCCCCTTCCAGACCCTGCAGCTAAACCCTAATGCAGACATCTTCAGTCCTACCAGAAGTCACATTCCAGACATGAGTGTCAGCAATAGGGGTGATCTAGTACGAAGGAAGCCACAGGAATTCAATGGGAAGGCACTGTGGGAAGCATATAGAGCACAATTTGAGCTCCTGGCAGAAATGAATGGATGGACAAAGAAGCAAAAAGCAGTGTATCTGGCAACAAGCCTGAAGGGACAACCACTGGAAATACTTGGACAGTTGTCAGCAGACGACAGGCACAACTATACAGCACTGGTAGCTGATTTAGAAGTCAGGTATGGAACTCAAAATCAGTCCGAAATCTACAGGGCTAGGTTTAGGACAAGAGTCCGTGCTAAGGGGAGAGCCTGTAAGAACTGGCAGAGGATTTGGAAAGTATGGCACACAAGGCCTACCCAACTGCACCACCCGATGTCCTCAAGCTGTTGCTGAGGGATCAGTTTGAAGATGCCTTGGACATTCCACAACTAAAGATACAAGTGAAGCAAGCACACTCCTCTACTATGCAGGATGCAATGGCCAAAGCTCTTGAATTTGAATCCTACGTTAAGTCCAGCACAGAGGTACCAAGGTTGGTACAGTCATCAGGATTCAAGGCCAGAAAAAGGCAGCTTACAGAGAAGTTTTGAGCTCAATGCCGGGAACTTCAACACATGGAAGATGCCACTGCAGGAAAGGCAGCTACCCAGAAAGGTTGTTGGAACTGTGGAGAGCAAGGACACATAAGGAGCCAGTGTAAGAAGAATACTACCAATAAGTCAGCTCCGGGAAACCAGTAGTCATTGATGCTGAGGGACGCCCACCAAACCCCATTGTGAAAGTCCCAACAGCTAAGTGTAAAATGGCAAGCACACAAAGTGTCTACGTGACAGGAAAGCTGGATGGCCAAAAGTGCAACTCTGTCATAGATTCTGCATCTCAGCAAACCCTTGTGAGCATCAAGTTGCTAGTTCACAAAGGAGTACCAGAAGCCACACAGAAGCTCTGTGGTGTGACAGGACCTTCTGCAAGGTTGTGGGGACCAGTGTGGGTGACTATTGAGCATATAGGCATGAAGGACATACACAAAGTATACTTGGCTGACATTGAAGACCCATGCATATTAAGATTGGACAACTTACTACCAGTGTAGTTAATTTTATAAAATGATGTTAGGGAACAACAAAGGCCAAATTCCGGTAAATGTTGCTGCTTCTGTTGATTTGCATGTCACAGCACTTAAGTCAACTACAATACTCCCTATGTTAGAGAAAATAATTTGGAGTACAATAAAAGAACATCCCCAAGGAAGACCCATCTAGGCCAGCGAATTTGAAGATTGTAAGGTCACTTCTGGCAGGTCATCAAATAGTACCCATAACAGTAACTAATTTCTCTAAATATGAGCAGACACTTAACCCGATGACTACCGGCTACTAACTTTCTTAGTAGGCAATGCAAG